TATTTTTCCTCTTATCAAAGTTTCAGTTTGATTTAACAAGTAACACTTAAAAAAAACTGACTTGAGTATTTAATACCCTTGGTATCCATACAGGACGACACCAACCCAGTGTTTTCCGATACGCATGGATACCAAGGGTGTTAGTTTGACACCAATTCAACACCACAGATTTTGCAGTGACATTTCACTTTTGAGCGTTGCCTAGTGCCTATTACTTGGTGTCCTTTCATTAATACATCAGATGCTTCCGTTTAATGTAATGTTGACCACTTTGTTTTTATCGATTCTGCGATACTCCCATCCTAAGTCCCGTCGTCCAGAATTTTACTTTTTAGGTACTCGGATAACTTGGACCTGATATCAAATAATATTGTCAGCAAGCCTTTTCAAACAAAACACGTGTATTTGTTTCCTTTAGTACAGCTCACATGATAAATTACAGGAGTAATTTTCTAAATTCACTCCAAAATGTGTATCTTCTTCAGTCGGAGTTTAAGCTCCTATAATTCACATGTCGGTGGCGAAGGCCTATAGTAACGAAGGGAAAGAACCCAAACCAACCGTGAGATTGAATATCCTGAGCTTGAGATTGGCCGGTTCCGCACTCGCGCCTCTTTGTGTAGAGCCAGGCAGGCCCGCCACAAATTGTCGAGTTGTCGTTGCCTAATTCTATGGCCTGCCTAACCCATGAAGTTATTTTTTTCCCTCGAGGCTTACCGCGCTGGTTTTACGCGGGACAAACACTGATTTTTAAGGAAATAAATTACACTTGTTAAATTTCTGGAAATGGCTAGCTTTTTGTAATGGAGCAAGTTTTTTTCTCCAAATTTCACGAGACTTCATGGTGCAAAGTAAATGTTGTACAGCATTGTTTTGAAGTGGCTCTGTCAGGCACGTTGGATTGAAACGAAAATGGAAAACGCAGTTTAAGGTATGAAGTTGTAGTTTTTTTTTTACTAGCATGCTATTATCATTTCGATGTATAACGTACTTAATGTTAAAATACGACTTAGGCAAACACTACAAGTAAACGTTTGTTAAAAGTCATCACATGTGTCGTTTTGGTTTCTCCTAAAGAACATTTGCCGGTGTTTCTTGGGGAAAGAAGAGTCCAAATTTATGAGGCTGTGTTGAGTTTTATATTAACACTCCCAATTAACAGTTCATTGATGCCAACAGAAGGATAAATAACACAGCAAAAGGGGCAACAATTCATTGAACAATACAGAAATATTAAGTACACCATTTGCTTTCACCATTATGGGCTCTAAATCATTTTTTAAAAATGTGGGCCAGTTGCTGATAAAATTAGTTAATAAATAACGAGGGACAACTTTTTACAACTCATCAGCGGGCTCTGCGCTATTTAATTTCAATTCTTTTGGAAGAATCGCGCCATCGATGTTACAGCCAGACTTTAGGTCTTACCCATTGCCGTTCAACTACTGTAGTACATTTCCCGACTCTAATCTTTTCGAGACATCGCCCAGGCTTCGACGAGGGCTGCTGCTTGCTTCCCTAAAGCTGAGAGGAAACAGCAGCCCTGTTCGCAGTTATCTACGGCAGTCAACACTCTGAGGAGAAGTTAAGCAGGGCTTTCCAAAGCCCCCTCCCCCTCTCCCTCGCTTCTGAACATGTGTCGTCGTTCGTCAAACAGTGAACAGGCTCAACCCGCGAAATGGTTCATATCTCGGCAAATTTCCGGGCTGGATGGGTGCGGGGACGGGCTATCACAGGTGCAGGAGGCTGCAAGCTTCGGGTGAAGACATACATGTTCTTAGCTTTTTTCTTTCGGATAAAAACGTTAAAGAAAAACTCTCTTTTTCCTTTTTTAAAACTTTGATAACAGTTTTAAGATGAAAAAAGCAACATTTTAGAGAATGCACTCTGATCGAAGAAATTAGTTCAACTTTGCTGCATAAAACTTTAGAAAAGTTACACCAATTTTAAGAGGGCATTTTTTGGTCCATCGTTTATCCCATGAGACGAACACAGACCACAGGGTCGATGTAATTAGAAAAAAAACCTTTCAAGCTAGGGCATGAGTAGGGTATTCAGCAGGTAAAACATTGTGAAATTTGTTAGTTGGTCATTAACCTTCACACATGCCACCTCAGACCGGGTCTCATCTCAATTGAGGTGAGTTCGAATCCAGACAACGGCTTTGGGCTGGATAAAGGCGAGTGTTTCAGGATTCGTGTAAGAGGAAGTTTTGTCAACAGTGCGAATGGGGAACAAGACGTTTGATGTGCCCGACAGGTGAGCCTCTAAACTTGCTGCCCTCGTATCATTTTTCGAAGAATAAAACTAGGGGTTTGCACTGAATCATTGCCCGGAACAGAGCGTAAACTTGGGTGCCGTCAACTGTTTTGCGGAAAACGCCCAGGCAATGGAGATTGAACCAGTAACAGGTGGACAGCGCAAATGCGTCACACGACCTTCCTAACAATCACATAGCCGCCATTCAGAGCTTTACCATATTTAACTCTGCTCGGCAGTGTTTTCGACAATCTGGTTGGTCAGTTGCGATCGAAGCCGATGACGTAATGGGGGATATTTACAGGGAAAACACTCAGCCTCGCGTGCGATGGAGAGCTGCTCCAAAGTTACAGCGTACACAGTTTTGGGCGGATGACGAACCTGTTATCAGCGCGAACTTTTAGAGGGAAAAAGCTAAAGTGTGCCGACTTTACGAAAGTACACTTTTAATCACAGTAAGCCTGAAAGTAAGCTGCAAGGCTCGCAAGGTCAAACCTTATCAGAGCGAAGCCGAATTATAGTAATCCAGACGCGTTACAGTATGCATAGTTATTGATCCAATCCTTGCTTGTAGACATAAACTCTGTCGAAAGAACGAAAGAGTTCTGTTCTTCAAATAACGCCTCTAAATGTGAGTAATTTTTCTTTTGCACATGTTCAGATACTGGAATTTCCTCCGTTTTCTTTAAAGATTTATAACGATTTGCATATCGAGGTTTGAACAAAAGAAATTCAGATTTTTCGGTTTGTTTGTCTGTCCGTTTGTTTTTAGATTTTCGGAAAGACGACGCGCTCTCAAGGGATTGTCCATGGAAAGAATGAGATATAGAATTAGAGCATGGGTTTTAGAAATGGAACTCGTTTAGCCTCTCTCAATACCGACAAATTCCATATTCACTGGGTTTATTCTCACTCCTCTAGTTGCTTGATCTGGGGAAACCATAGAAGGAGATTTCACCTTATTTTCCACTGTTATTGTCATGAACTTCAGCTATGAGTAGCCGACCACTACATGCAGAATCTGCGGCTGACTTTCCTAGAGGCCCTCTCGAGAATTCCACAAATTGTCGTTTCCTTGGCCGTTAATTGAATCATTTGTCCCAGCGGGAGCCGATCAAGCGCTAATTGGCGGGTCGGATTCCACGGAACGCTGAGAGAAAAATGGCCCAAACTTGGCAGGTCTTTTAACATTGCATGCTGAGAAAAATTTCGAACAAAAGCCATGATTCTGCGTTACCCAGCTCGGCAGGACGCATTTTTATCAAAGCACTTGAACTTTTATCTTTGATTTTTTTGTTTTAAGTTCGTGTTTAGTTCAACTCCGACTTCAAAAAAACTTTTTTTCATCGGCCCATTCGAACGATACGGAATGCCTGTCATTAATTTGAACGGGTAATGCATGCAAAAATCGTCCGGCTTAACCGATGTGAAACTGATGTCCATTGTTACAGTTGACCATGTTGGAGACGACACCCTGATTGCATAATAATTGTTACAGGTCTTTAAGAGCACTCCTTTTCTCTTTCTTCTGAGTGGGAGGGGTTGACGCCTTCAGCTTGCTGTAGGAATTATAGGGTGACTAATGAATAATGTGAGCCAATACCGTCGCCCTTCGGAAATGGAGGAATTCGAGAGTTGATAACGAATGAGGAATAGCCAAATTGGCGTTATAAAAATGACCGACTATGACGCAACAATGACATCGGCTTCTCAAGGAGAAACGAACGTTATCGCTTTCTGTACACTCTAAAAATTGCGTTGGGCAGTCTGGAAGCACGTTCAGATGTTAAACAATTTAATGTCCAATTGTTAAACACTATCCATGAGAAGTTTAAACATGTTTATCATTTATACATGTTTACAACCTAAACAGTGTTACAAAAATGTTCAATGGCTAAACACTCTGGCGAGTAAAGTTGGGATCTTCCGTCCGATTCATTCAATGATATGGTGTGATAATGAAGGTGCAATTCTCGCATATCAGCGGCCGTCTTGACAAGGAGGTAGACTATCACAGCCAGTGGTCAAACACAAACACACAATAAGAAAGAATTCATGCAAGTATTAAAGTTCGATCTGTGAGAGATATTTAAATGAGGAACCCCAAGGTGTCTTCTCTTATATTCTTAACATTGTATAGCTTTTCTTTTCCTAAAAAGGACTACAATTGCAGATTTGTTTTTCATGTAGACAGCCCGATAGGCCTACATTAGACTTAATGGGTGAAACGTCCAAGAAGTCACTAGTGAAAGGGCATAAATGAAGTTACGACGAGAAATGTCAATTCAAACACTTGCAGACGTGTAGACAGGAAACGTTGAATGTTTGAAAGGTCAGAGTATACACCTTTCTTGCTTTATTTTAAGAATCCAATAACAGCCAACAATGCGGTTCCTGTTCAACTACCGACCCGTGAATCATGACAACTCAGCGGTGTCGCTGCCTGCTTGGTTTAGGGCAAAAATAAACACGCGGGAGCCTGCTGCTTGGCTATCCTGTCATTTGGAAGAAACAGGACAAGGACGGGGACGAGCACAATTAGAACAAACTTTAGGCAGTCATGCGTCACGACAACGAACATTCACAGATCATTATGTGCGATCCTTAGACTAATCGTGCAAAGTAAACGTCCAGCTCCCGCGGAAACGGTGCATCATCTTCTCTTTTCGGTTTTCAGCATGTGCCCCTTCCTGGTTGAGAAAAATATGTATAAACGTGAAGCATATCTTTATTTCCAACAGCAACCATGTTCAAGTTTGACAACAGACGACCTTTCAGTGATATTCTGCCGTCGTTTAATCACTTCGGCGCAAACAACGGCACCCAACACACCAACGGGTCTCCCGTCTCCACCAACGGAACCGAGTTGCTGAACATGGACACAAACGCCTTGCAGCAGCAACAGCAGCACCAGCCGCAGCCACAGCAGCAATCGGTTGGACACAACGGCCACGTGTCGCCGGGGATGCTGGTGCAGGCGGACTCCAACGGCTACGGGATCCCGACCACCCCGCACCGCGTGCTGGAGAAGAGCGGGCCGCCGGCCGCTCCAGGCCTGATAGACACCGGCTCGACCGACCGACACCAACCGCGGATGACCGAGTTGTGCACCGTCGGCGCATCCTCAGCCGGGTCGAGAGCCATGGTGGACATCGTCATGGATGACGTCGAGGTCAAAGGTCGAAAGATCAGCCGGAGTGATGTTAATGGTAAGTTGGAATGTGACCGAGGCATGTTCTCATGGTGCTTTTCGTCAGTTCTTCATGCTCAAAGTTGTACAACTGGATGTAGAAATCCCTATACATGTTATCATTTAGGTTTCTGACATCTGACCACCTTTTGAATTTACCCGTATCTTTGATTTGTGTATAAATGTACAAAGTTTTTACGTATAAGGTCTAAAATATGTGTCATGGTTGTAAAGAAGTTGTGTAAACTTATTCTTTTTTAGCTAACTTGACTTGGCGCAAACTACTGAAATACACCCGACAAAGAACTAAATCATGGGTGTGCTCCACCCAAACCCGGTACGTCAAACGCACCCAAAAGAGACAAGCTCTTGGCTGAACTTGTCATCCAAACGAATCCGCTCCGTCGCAACCTTCGTAACTGTTGGCATCTTAATCAGGTCGGGGCTATTATGTAAGGGAACACGCCCTCTCGCGGTGACTCACGGATGATCATGATGCAAGGCGGAAGTCATCAATTCTTCGGTGGGTGTTTCCGATTGACAAGATAGCGCTAATTACGGATATCTGATGTGTCGACTATGTCTTTTCTTTCTTTTCTACTAAAAAAAAATATTTTAATATATGCGTAGTAATTAGTTCGGTGATTTGATCATTGGAAAGAAATTATAGCAAGGCCATTACTGAAATTCGGCTTCGTTTGCAGAATCGGAGTAAGGTTTCCTGATTGAAGTCCTTGTTTTGGGTGATTTGGACAACGACTGCCCGTGGAATTTCAAGTTCTGCATACCAACATAAGACTTGGGGGGTCTTCGTTTTGATACTAACAGGAAAAGGCCTACAGCTATAGGTGTAAGGCTTGAGAGAAGCCTTATAAACCGGATACAAAATCGAGAATCGGGAAATGGCCTTAGTAAGAAATCTAACTTATCAGGCACACTTCGGTGGCGCCCTCATTTAACAGTCTATGAAAATGTGTTTCTGGCCGAATAATATCCGAAAATGTACCACCACCAAGGCGTTAAAAATGCGTTGGGCATTTTAAAAATGAAGCAGATTCAAACAGAATCGAAAAAAAAAATCAAAACTATCAAACGATTCCTATGCGAAACCACCTTGCCACCAAAGCCAGTCCCATCGCAATTACTCCTTACTTTTAACCGTACGGTTCAAGAAACCAATCATTTTCCAGTTTTTTTCTTTCTCGAAGACGTCACAGACCAAATACTAGCGGTTGGTAAACGTTAGCATGTACTTCTCAAATAGGACTATTCAAACATCGGTGTCGTCTACTGGTTTTCGCCTTAGACTGCTGTGGTGCCTTGTCGTACCACAAATTCTCACATCAGGATCGCTCTCGACATGGTCATTTGACCAAACAACAACCTGAACTCACTGCAGGCTACCTGTGATACCATTTAATGTTTCCAGAACCTTACTGAACCTGTTCACGTTGGCAGCGTAAGCTTACCGTTACAGCAGCGGGAAGTTTAGAACCCGTCTCTGTCGGTGGGTAATGTTTCGCTAAATTATGTAGATCCAGTTATAATTGACATCATGTCTCCGTGATTTACTCTAATGGACCGTCGTGACTCGCCGCTCACGCTCGTCAATCGTCCCGGGACCTTGCGAGTCAAACACGGTGATGGTCCGGGGACTCGCGTAGCCCCCTGGTTGCCCGGGTTAATTATGTGTGCAGGCTGATCCCGCGACACCAGGGTAAATTTGGAGAACGGTGTTTGCGGGCCAGGGAGGCGCGCACACACGAGAGCAAATTGCCCACCGTGTGAAGTCGGGCTATCATTATTGTCATCTCCGGCGAAAAATTGATACCGAGCCTCCCCATAAAAGGAATCCCATGCGCGATGGACTTCACGGATGCGTCCCACCTGCCGCCGAGTTTCTGGCCGTGATCTCCCGCGGGGGGCTTGAGTGTGTACAAGCCCGTATGCCATAGCCCAGCGCATGCTCGCTGAAATGGATGAAGCGTAGACCATTACAAACTCTGATCGTATGGCCTGGCAAGGCTTAGTGCGATTATTGCACCCCGTAATTATGTTCATCTTCTATTTCCGCGTATAGTCCCATTCCGAAGAGGTTTAATGGCGAGTCTATATATACGCGTTCCCCGCTTGCGGCAATGTAACCCTTGCCTCATTTGCCATTCATGAGAAACAATTGTCTTGTAGCAATATACCTGTTCTTTTACTAAGCACCCTTTCGGCCATCCATCTTCGGGGACGAAAACCGATCAATTTTCAGCAATGGCCATATGAAGATTAAGACGGGAAACAAAAAGGAGGGATAATATTTTTTCTCTACCACTGCAGGCGTACAGTGGTTTTCGCAGAATTGTTAAAACTGGACCGTGTCAAGTCTAATCTCACTTTTGTTAGCAGGCTTGTAAGACAGTCAACTGTACAAATAGGAGATCATCCATCCGTTAATTGGAGTTCAAATCTGAGGTGTGGCCGGCAACTTCGGTCTGCGTGCTGATCCAAACCTGCCTCCTTACAGTGCCAGAATGGACTTCTGTCGAAAAAAATAAAATTAGCATTTTTAATCCACTCAAACGAGGATGAAGCTCCGGTCATACAACTCGGAGATGAGTTTTAGAACCACTGATCATATTATGACATTTTTGTTCTGTCATCATCGCATTCTTTTAAATCATCAGTTACCTTGATTTTATTTGGTTAAAAAGAAAAGATCTATTCATCGTTGACCCTCTCCGGCCTCACTCTTCGTATGCCTATATACATTGTGGTAATGATAATCGGATTTCATCCGATTGAATCGGATTCATTCCGGGACTTTGCCACAGTGTTGTGAAATCCAAATTTTATGCAGCATTTTGTTGGGAACACCCTGACGCCCTTTCCCTCACGCCAGTCGATGAACCACAGTTTCGAGAAAGCTCCAACCCTGGGCTGATGGAAATTCACTTGTTAACCAAAAGTTCAACCAAAACCAACAATGATAGCAGGCGACTCCACACATGTTGGTTGAAATGACTCTGCACAGAATTCCGTCGCCAGTTTTATTCACAGTGCATCGATTGCCATGAACAGAACATTGTTTTTTTCCCCTGCGGAATAATCATATCATCAAACAGAAATGATTGGATTTGTGACTTTGCGACATCAAATTAGGACAGGTGTTACACATAAATACTCGCCATGTATTTGGTATAACAAAAAGCTGGCTCATGCTTTATGGTTTGCTGGAACAGTCTTGCTGTTCAGTAGCGGCACATTGGAAAAGAAATTCAACCAATTCTCTAGTATTTCAAACATTTAATATTAAGTTTTCAATATACTGCTGTAGTGATTCAGAAATAACAGTCTGTTTTGCTGCCTCGCCCAGACTCAAAGATCTTACAATTGAAAGAAAAATAAGATGAAATCTCTCAGTCTAAGTCGAAACACTGGAGGTTTTACAACAAGGCAAACCGAATAAACAACCCCCTCGCCTCCAACAATTATCCGTGTTTTTGCTCCTAGAAGCCCATCGCAGAATTCCCGAAAGGAGACTCGCAACTTAAGTCGCGCTAAACAAGTGAACGGCAAGTTTTCTTTATTGTGGATGTTGTTGGCTCTGTACGCCGACCATGTGAGCGCTTAAACGCCCCTAGCACAGCATTTTGCGCGGTGTGAACAGCCCGAACCGGCGTGACTAACCTGCACAAGTCTGTATCAGCGTATCAATTAACCGCGTATCACGCCATGTTGATGTTGGCATCTCGGAGGCTTTTAAGAGCTTAACAGACGGCCGACGGACACGGCGTAATTCATCGACAGAACGTAGAAGTATAAGTAAAAAAATAAATGCTGACCTATTTTGAAGGGGAGAAATGAGTCTGTGATTCCAGGTTATAGGCAATTTATTATGTCTACCGAGTTTGCTCTGTCACGAATTTAGTGTTCGGATGATGCTTCTCGATGCAAGAACTATTGCTTTGTAAGTCCCCTTCAAATGTTTTTAATAGTTCCTGCTAACCGTATAGCCGATAAGGTAAGACGTAAAAAGTACATCGATGGCTGGTGTTCATCAACAAATGCAGTAACCATGGTGCTGGTATCACTTAGGCCTATGGCCTTTATAATCTAAGACACCGACGTTGATGTAAAAGCATTCTTGTGTAATTTTCATTTTGAAATGACAAAAATTACTGGGATCACTTCTTATAGCTTGTGCACAACGACCAACAGATGGCTGCGCTCTTTCCTACCGACTAATAAATTTTCTGGTTTTAGTCAGGGTTTTAAAAAATTTGGGAAACGCTCTTCCATAATGACCAAAGGCCTAATTCTTTTTTCCATTACAACATCATTATTTTAAACCTTCCCGAGAATTTCGGTCTCTCCACTATTGGTTTCCATATCAGGTTTTGGGGACTCAGGGACAAGAAGAATTTTTTTCTATTACAGAACCCATTTTTCCTTAAAATAACAAGGGATGTTGGATAATCGACGAATGGAAATAAAGTAATGTGATGGATCACCCAATCCCTCACATGAAAATAGAGATGGTAGTTAAGTTTTGGAGCCACTGATAACGTCATAGGCTTTTCTTTCTCTGTCGCAGAATAGGCATTCAGAATGTCTGGTCATATTTTCAAGCCACCTGGAACTTCACGTTTCAGTGTACATTAGAAGGGGTTATGAAATCAAAAAATATCACCATTAGCCAAATCAACACAGATGTTCGATTGTATAGCTCATTATGCAGTGTTCTAAAGCTCATTGTAATACTTGACATAAGTTGTCTCGTCGTGTATACAGTCTAAATTCTAAAACGGGTCAGCCCATTTTTTTGTATTTTTGCGCTACCAGCTGACTGAAAGGGCGCCCTCAACAGGTTACGTGGTGAGTTGGCCGTCGCGACCGTGTGTCGGCCAAAATGGAGTCCTTGCACGGTCGCTTGTTTTGTCCGGTATTTCACTGATCGATTCCTCTTGTGGAATCACAGAGCTTCAAATAGATGGCCCCAAAACCACAGTGAACGCACAGAAGCGGTGC